CTGCTGTGTGGTTTGGTAACATTGGGATTGTGCCTTTTTACTTGTCAACCTTGGGGCTTCTCAGCCTCAGCAGCCAGCAGCTGTCTGAGTAAAGAAAAGCCTCTAGCTCCAGTGGGCCGGGAGCTGAGGCAGAGCTGGACAATAAAGAACCAATGAAAGTTTCATAAGAACAACATTATGTGATCAGGTTCATGTTTTAGAATAAAAACTCTGTATTATCACACTTACTCATTATCCTCTTCACCTTGTCTTGATCTTTTTGCTACATGTTCATCTTCTAATTCTGTTAGATCCTTGAGTCCTTTCTCATTACTAATTATGTTAAATACTGAAACAAAAAGAAAACTGCTATGAGCTAAAGCAATTCTATGTTTTCTGTAACTCAGTTCTAACATTAAAACTCACCTTTTTCTACCTGAATCCTAAAAGCATTTTTTTTCCTTCGACCATAATCTACACTGAAAAAAAAAAAAAAAGAAAAAGAAGTTTAGTACAGTAGTCTCCACCAATATTTTCCCATTAAGTTCAATCTAAAAGGATCACATATATTTACTTAAATATCTATTTATACTTGCCATAAACCTACTTTCAGACAACTTTCTAAGTTTATATTTTCACAATTGTGATCTTCCTTGATACTTTTCTCTTTACTAACCCTTTTTGCTTTCATTTTTTAAAATTTTCAAATTTCAAATCTACTAAAAACCTAAAAGAAATAATATAATGATCACCCATCTTCTCTTTACTTATATCCACAAATTGCTAACATTTTCCCGTATTTGCTTTACTTCTCTGTACATACAGAGTTAGTTGTTTTGGCAGAATCACTTGAAAATACCTTGCAGAAACTTAACCCCAAAATATTCACCATGTATCTCTGAAGAACAAGAATACTTACAGAACAATACCATAAGTACACATAAGAAATTTAACACTGATATAATTATATTATCTAATATATAGTCTGTATTAGTATTTCCCAAACTGTTCTACCAAAATGTGCTTTATAGCTATTTTTCCTTTTACTCCAGGATCCAGGCAAGGCTCATGCATTGCATTTGTTTGCCCTATCTCTTTAGAACCCGTTAAGTTATCTCTATTGTATGTGTGTGTGTACCTCACATTTTTTAAGAGTCCAGGTCAGTTAATTTGTAAAATGTCCAACCATTTGGATTCACCTTATGTCCCCTCATTACTAAATTCATGTTAAACATTTCTGGCAAGAATTTATGCTAAAAACAGCAGGTGAAAGCTTAACAAAGAACAGGGTATTTACAGTCTCAAAGTATTGCTATAAAAATTATTAATTTTAAATTAATTTACAGTGGATTAATCTAGCAAACAACAAAAAAAATAATAATCTTAATGTCAAAACGAACACTATTAAGTACATTGCAAACAGACATTATATGCCTGCTGAGGTCACATCACTTCTGTGGTATTCCTGCCAAGAATATATAACCTGATTCTAAACATGGAGAAATATCAGAAAAACCAAATTAAAGGACATTGTATACAATCCTGTAATCTTCAAAAATGTCAAGATCATGAAAAAATGAAGAAAGGCTGAAGAACAGTTCCAGATTAAAAGAGACTAAAGAAACTGAACAACCAAATACAATGTGTGATCCTGGATTGGATTTCAGTGGCAGGTGAGGAGAGGAACAGAGATGATAGCTATAAAGGACATTATTGAGACAGCTGATGAAATCTGAGTATGAGTAGAGGATGAAATAATATTTGTAGCAATGTACATTTTCTGGCTTTAATAAATGAACTGTGATTATGTAAGTGAAAGTCCTTGTTTTTAGGAAATACATAACATAGTATAGATAAAGGGACACACTGGATAAGAATTCTTTGTACTATTGTAATTTTTCTCCAAATACAAAAAAAAGGTTTTAAGTAAACCAAAAAAAAAAAAAAAAAACAACCAAACTCATCGTCATCGAGTTGATTCCGATTCATAGTGACCCCTTTGGGTTTCCAAGGTAGTAAATCTTTACGGAAGTAGATTGCCCAGTCTTTCTTCAGCAGAGTGGCTGGTAGGTTTGAACCACCAACCTTCTGGTCAGCAATCAAGTGTCTTAGGCACTATGCCACCAGTTTCTAGAGTTGATGGCAATTCTCAGCATTACTGGGCTTGTATATATACCTCTAGCTGTCACACGGAGTCGCCCTGCTGTGTGTGTATGTCTCTGCTTTTCCTTTTTATAATATACCAGTCAAACCAAAACCCAAAAAACCCACTGCCATCAAGTCGATTCCGACCCACAGCGACCCTCACTGGGTTTCCGAGGCAGTCAATCTTTACAGAAGTAGATTGTCCAGTCTTCCTTCCACACACTGGCTGGTGGGTTTGAACTGCCAAACTTCTGGTTAAAAACACTATATTTAATCGTGGCCATTTAAAAAAAGTAACAAGCAAAATATGTTAAATCAATGTTGACATATCAATACCAAGGCTTCCTTTTTAAGGTAGTTTTATGCTTCTAAATATCAGGTATTTAATGGATTTAAGAATGGAATTTAAAACATGAAATTGTGGTACCTCTATAGCAAACCATACTCAAATAGGAAAAACAGAAAGAAAAACTCATGACAACCAAGAAGAGTATCAGTTACTACCAGTGTTGAAATATACCGACATCTAGCAAGAACCACTTACCAAGTGAGGGTCAATATTCAGGGCCCTAAACCTTACCCTTCTCAAAACAAAACCCTTTTCTAAAATGAATTTAAGATGACTAAACCAAAGCAGCCAGCAGGCCAACATTTGTTGTTGTTGTTGGTATGTGCCGTACAGTCGGACCTGACTCATAGCGACCCCACTCTGGGTTTCCAAGGCAGTATCACTACGGAAGTAGATCGCCTCATCTTCCTTCCGTGAGGCCAACATTTACATACCTTTAAAAAGATAATGTAAAAACTGTAACTATAACTAAAAACAGAAGGCACAAGTATGAAACTAAGGTCCAAAAACAAAAAATCTACTCACGTAATAAAAAGAGATACATTAACTAAGAATGTTGTTGTTGTGTGCCATCAAGTTGGTAACAACTCATAATGACCTAAAAGGACAGAGCTGGACTGCCCTATATGGTTTCCAACTCTAATCTTCACTAAGCAGACTGTCACATCTTTCTCCCATGGAGTGGCTGGTGGGTTTGAACTGTTGGCGTTTTGATTAGCAGCCAAGCTTTTAACCATTGTGCCAGCAGGACACCTTAAACTAAGGATGTATAGAACATAAAGAAATTACACAGTAATTTGTCAGAACTTAACGGGAGTGGCTTGTTTGGCCAGGTCTTTCAAGTTTCCACCTTTGACAGGGTACATTCTCACCACTTTTCCATCACTATCAGTGGAAAATACTTTAGTTTTCTTTCTCTGACAGATTTCTATCTTATACAGGTTCCAGTTTCACAGATTTTACTGTAGTACTTTATATTTAATCTTTCAAAATTAAAAACTAAAACACATTCATTGATAGGTAACATTCTCCCCCCTCTGTCCCATTGTTGTTAGTTGCTTTGGATTCAATTACAACTCATGGTGACCCCACATGCTGCAGAGTGAAATTGCTCCATAAGGCTTTCTTAGCTGTAATCTTAGCAGGATCAGATCACCAATCCTTTTCTTCTGTGTTACCACTTGGTGGGTTTGAACCAGCAACGTATGGATTAAAAGTGCGACCTTCCGCCATTCCTTGTAAGTGGAAAGGGGGAAAAAGAAAAAACCCACCACCTCTATAGTGGTTGGGGAGCTCCGGTGGCGTAGTGCCTAAGGCATCTGACTGCTAACCAGAAGGTTAGCAGCTCAAACCCACCAGCCACTCCAAAGAAAGAAGACTGGGCAATCTACTTCTGTAAAGATTTACTGCCTCAGCAACTGTTGTTTTTAATTTATATGGTTAAGGGCTTGGCTGCTGCCCAAAATGTTGGACTTCAACCCATCCAACAGCTGTATGGGAGAAAGATCTGGTAATCTATTTCTGTAAAGAATGCAGCCAAGAAAACCTTATGGGGCAGTTCGACTCCATCACATGGGATTCCTATGAGTTAAATACAACTTGACAGCACCTAACAACAACATACTACTTCAATAAACCAACACTATTGAAACACCTGGCCTATCCTTTGTTTTATAATTACTAATGGGGACTGTTCTTTCATCCTTCCTCTCTTCTGGATTGTGAGTTTCTGATTCACAATCATTTTCCTATCTCTTAGAACATCTAAAAAGCATTCAATAAATATTTGCTATATTATGAAAAGTTAAAAGCTCACAACGTCTGCTATAGATGCTAACAGTATAAAAGGGGAACACTTGCATGATGTACAATCAGGCATAAATGATACATTGTCATGCTATTTTTGCCTTATTACATTTCACAGAATCTCAACAGTAGAATGAGACTGAATTTCAGTACCTCTGAAAATGAGCTATCATTTTCCTATCATTAAATAAAGATCCAAGAATTCACTTCTTACAAACTGAATTCTGGAATAAACATTTCTATCTGTGTTATTTCACTTAAATCTTAGTGACATTTAAATGACAACAACAAGCCCCTCTCCATGCTGAAATATGCATTGTTGTTAGTTGCCATCGAGTCAGACTCGACACATAGCGACCCCTCCTTGGGTTTCCGAGGCAGTATCACTACGGAAGTAGACTGCCCAACCTTCCTTCCAAGGAGTGGCTCGTGGGTTTGAACTGCTAGCCTTCTGGTTAACAGTCAAGTGCCTTAGGCACTATGCTACCAGAGCTCCTGAAATATGCATTAATAGCTCTAATACCTTTGAAATTTAACTTTCAATATGAGAAGAAAAGCCCACAAATCAAGCAAGTGGGCATACTGCCTGCTGGTTCAGCAAATCTTAAACTGGTAATTATTCAGAGTAGCTATGTGTAATTCTGAAACTATGCAAATATATTCTCTATTCAAACAGAAAAAAGAATTAAAAAGGAAAGAAAACAAAAGGTCTATAGGGAAATGTAACAATGAACACAGTGAGGGCACACGAAGGTGTTACAAATGGCTGTTTAAATTGCTCTTTCCAAAGCCATCTGTTCTCTATTATTCCAGGAGTAGCATAATGATTACTTCCTCAATAAATGTTTCCACCAGACCCTTTACCATTCCCTACAAAGAATTCTTCTGTCCTCTCTTACAGCATTTCACTTAGTACTTATAAGCTGTGTAGGAACTGAGTCATTTATTAATTCACTCAGTCATTCATTCACACCACTCCTTCAATTCAATCACAAACATGGACTGCCTATCTCCCTTCAAGAACTGTCTAAGGGCTAGGAACCAAAATATGAATATGAGATACTACTCAGGCACTTGCTGTAAGAACTCTGCCCACCGGGGGAGACAGACACCTAAAGACATTGTGATAAATGCAATGACAGAAAGAAGCATGGGAGCAGACAAAAGAATATGGATTAA